GGGCAGCCAGACACGGAAGCCAGATGCTCACGTCAAGAGTGGACATTGTCCCCAAAGCAGCCAAGGCTATCAGAGGCACTCGATGGGGGCATGGCAGGACCAGGCCTACATTTTGAAAAGACCATTTTTGGCTGAATGATGCAGCCTGGACTGGAGGGGAACACCCGGGCTGGCCAAGGGGCTGGGCAAGGGTGACTGCAGCCTGGAGGGATTCCGAGGGCATTTCCGAGATGCGGAAGTAGGAGGAGCAGGTCTGGGGAAACACAGCTACAGTCTGGACAGGGTTTCATGTTTCTGACCTCACCACGTGTAGGCCAACAGCTTTCTCGCGCATTCTCAGCTTCTTCTGGAGAACTTACTGAGTTGCAGAGGGAACAGGGTGCCCTGGACATGTCAGCATGTGGGCAGGGAGATCTGTGCTGGCCTTCACATCCGGGCAGCACATCCTGAATCCCCCTGCCAGACCGGTGACCCATCCGACCTCTCTGTTAGGGATGGGGGTGGTACTGAGGGGTCCCAGGAATGTGCGTGGGCTTCCTCTGCCTCCTCTGCACGGGGAGGGGGCTCTGACTTTTCAGCCTTCACTAGCTTCCATCTCTGCTGGTCTCTCCAGCCCCTGGGCTAGTGTCAATAGCCACAGCTGCTTTTGGTGTTTCTCAGGCTTTATGGGCATGCCACATCCCACTCGGACCTCACTTAGGCTCTACGAAGGTAGTGCTGTCACCTCCATTTTAAAGATGAGGAAAGGGAGGCTCAGAGAGGTGAGAAGGCTTTCCCCAGCCACACGGCTTTTCCCTAGGTCCTGGCATTACTGGTTGTAAAGACGGGGCGGCTGCTGTCCATGCAGGATATGACGGTGAGGACGGACAGAGCTCTGTGGGGAGGTCCGGGGCAGGAATGGGAAGGTAGGAGATGAAGAGCCATGAAAAAAGCTGAGTACCACCTCTCTTGCCACAATGTGGCTCCCAGCCCTGGGGCAGGAAGGCCAAGATTGCTGATGGGTCCTATGGCCCCTCGCCCTTGGCCTACAGCATCTGAAGTCGGAAGAGACACATCTCCCCTGCAAGTCAACTCGGATTTTGCTTTTTGGTCCAGACACAAGCAGAAACAGATGCAGCCTGGTTTCTCTCCCCCCAAGACCTTTCTGGAACTCAATAGCAGGCCCTGGGACTGGGATTTTAAGCCACTAAAAGTCCTTTGTGGAAGAAGACAGGGGATAGAAATATTGCATTCACAGTCACTGCTGCTGTGAGCTCTGTAATCAGGGACTCGGGGTCCCAGGGACAGTGACGTTAGACCTCGGTCTCACCGACCTGGGCCACACCTTTCCTATGGATCAGTTCAGGGGTTCTGATCCAACAATAAGACACGTGCCTCAGGTATCTTCCAACAGGATTCAGATGGAATGAATTCCTTTTTCCTCCCTTATCACATTGCACACATAAAATCTATTTTTAATTAGCTTTCAATATATAATCTTAAAAAAAATTCCTACAGCTTGCTCCCACCCCCAATCATGCTTAGAGAAAGAAAGACTTATCTTGTAAGTTTCTTAAGAAAATCTATATGTGCTCAATGCATTTAAATAACACTCATTAAAGTGAACCGCATACATGCTGGTCGCGCTAGTCACAGATGAGAGACAATCGCTTGACCTATTGCAAATCCCGAAGCGTCTCCACGCCACTTTCGTTTTTCAATTGGTTAAGTTTTAAGTGAAAGTCCCAATGCCCTTTTTGGGAAGGCAGATGAATAGAGCCCCAACTGAAATTTTTAGCTCAGTCGATTGGAAGATAATTACGAGAAACAAAATGTGAAATTTTAAATCAGGGCACTAATGAAGTCTAAAAATACCGGTGGCCCATCCCTCGAGCTGGCAAGACCTGTACTTCATGGAAGGGATCGCTCCATAATTACTGAACCCCGTGAGAGGCCAGGTTGTCACGTCAAACAACAGTCGGAGAAATTGCGGGACTTTAATGAGCTAGATCTCAAGGCATTCTATGGTGGATCTTATTATAATGCTGGGCAAGGTTTCAAACAGAGAACAGGAGAAAAAGAAAGTTCTGTTTTTTTTTTTAAGTGGAGTTCTGACTTGTGTTGATGCCATCATGCAGAGCCTCCTGTTCGCGCCTGGAGCCAGCTGTCTGTCATTTAGGAGTGTGAAATCAGTTGGGCTTCAGAGATGTAAAATCCCCAGGGGCAAAATTAAAAATGACCCACATCCAAACCCATGTGGTCCTGTCAGGAATCTGACTCTCACGTGCTACGTTTCAAAGATTGGGTTTCAAAAATTCAGGTTTCTTATTTTAAAAAATATGCAGTTGTTTGACATTAGATCTGACAGACAAATTATAGCTTCAGCAATAAAGGCTTTTAAGATTAGAAATGAAAGAAGAAATTACTTAAAAAAAAAAAAAGAAACCAAAAAAACCCAACAAACCCACCCAGGCTCGAGTCTGGAGGCATTTCTGTGTGCCTGCCTCATTGTCCGCCTTCCCACAAATATAATCAGCTGATGGGGGCCGTAAACAGAGAGCAAGTTAAATGTAATTTCTGGGGAGACAGCCAGCTTGCTGGAACCCGCGGGAATCAGTGTGACGGACGGGTCACTTGCTGTCACTGGTGGAGCTACAGATCTCACTGGCTCACCACGAGGCAGGCCACCGACGATTTCTAGGCCCACCCTATCCCCGGTCCTTCTCCAACGCTCAGTCCACCTCAGGCCCCTTACTTCTCCCCCTCATCCATGGGCTAGAGGACAGTTCATACCCTCTAGCCCTGAACAAGTGTTACAGGGAAGCTCTGCAGTGGCCAACTGACCCACGGGCCCAGGGGCCCCATAGGGCTGGGCCCTCCACCTGTGTCTTCCTGATTTCATGGGCCCAGGGCTAAGGACAGTGCACAGACATGCCTGCGCCTGACAGCTTTGGTGAGATGGACTTGCTTGGTGCTGAGCCTCAAACCAGGGACCCCGTCCCATCTGGAGCAGTTATCGTTTACACAGAACACCTCCTTTTCCTAGATACGTACCCGGAACCCGACAACCCAGCAAGACCTTCCATGGTGATAGGAAGCCACCATCCTGGAGTGAGGTAAGCCAACCACCACCTTGGGCTTTCTATCACCTTAGAATAGCCTGAACTCCTTTGCGGTGTGGCCATCCCCCCTGGGGGGTGATTTCTCGCTTTCTGTCTCTCTGTCTCTCTCTGTCTGTCTGGTGAGTGCACGCGCCCTATAGCAAAAACCTCTCCAAAAAAAAAAAAAAAAAAAGAATAGCCTAAACTCCTATAGCCCAGAGTAAGAGCCAGCGTTAGTAGCTTATGAACTGGGGTACTTAAATTATTTATTTATTCTGAGAGAGACTTTTGCTATAGGGCACTTGTGCTCACCAGAGAGAAAATGAGAACCCTTGTTCCCCCAGGGGGGATGGCCATGATGTCACCCCTTCTCCTCCCATCTCCTCTAGGGATTTTGGGCACTCATGCACATGTGCCCAGCATGAGTTTTAAGCCTTCAGGTCCTGGACTCGAACCATGGTCAGTCACATGAAGTCCAGTGATGTAATCACTACACCGTCTACTGTCCTGAATTGTATATATGTATATATTTTAAAGGAGAGCTGAACCAAAACAATTAAATAACAAAATCAATTTAATCTTTTTTTTTTTTTTTTTAAGATCTTAAGCAAAGCAAGAGTTGACGAGAATTTGGATGTAATTTTCTATAATTTTGTTATTGAAAACTAGTGCTGATTTCCCAAACAAAGGCAGGCAGGGCTCCATCAGGTTGGGAATTAAACCCAATAAGACCTAGACTGGGCTTTGTGGTTGGAATCTCAACAAGGCCTGCCAACTGCAGGAAGGATAAAGAGAGACTTCGGAGAGCAGGCGTGGAAGACTACCATGCTGGGTCCTCCGCTCTGCTAAGAGGCAGGTCCCCCACGAGGAGGTCTCAGTGGTTGTTAAGCATGGTGGCTGAGAAGCCATGCCCAGATGTGTACACTTTCTAGGACCACGACCTCTCCTTTCACAGCAGACATGGATAGCCAGTGTGGTCCTCCTGCCACCTCCTGTCCCCAGAGCTGCCTGCAGCTGGTCGAGGCCCCGTTGCTCTCCCTCTGCACTTGGTAGGAGCAGGGGCTCTGCCTGCCTGGAGCAGATCTAGGGCAGAGGAACCCTGCAAGCTCACCTCTACAGCCCTGACTTTCCGTCTCCTTCAGTCTAGCCTGGACATATCCTACAGAACAAGAGTGTGGTCTGTGTGCATGCACTTTGACCTAACCCCAAGGCTAAGGCCTAGGACCACATTCATGGTGTACTCTTTTCCTGAAGTTCTGTTCTCAGGGATCTACCTTTGAGCTCTGGGAATGAAAACTACCTTAGGGTTTAGGGAAAGGGGATACGGAGGCTGAGGCCAGAGGGAATCTTTCCCAGAGTGTCACAGAGCCACCTTGGGGTCCTTGAAAAGAAAAATTCAAGTGGCTTAGGATGACCGGGGAACATCTCCTGGGCCTGACTAAATGCCATGGGTGCTATTCTCATCTGACAGAGGATGCTTTCCCCAGGAGGGACACAGACAGTTCATGTCCCTAATATCCTCTTGGGTGGGAAATGGGACCGTTCTGTGAAGCCCTAAGAGGAAACATGATTTCTGCTCCTTCCGCACCTTGGCCTGGCCGTGGGGGACAGAGGTGAGAATGGCCCAGGGCTTGAACTGGAGGGGAAGGGTTCTGGACTTCGCAGGCTCTCCCATCCTTCCTCCTCCTGTTTCCCTCTTCTCAGCCATGCACAGACCCTCCCCTCACCTCCACTCTGTCCAGGCCTCTACCTCCCTGGTCTAAGGCCAGGTGGTTTTGGACCGGAGGAGGCCCCAGTGTCACCTCTGGGCTGGGTGAGGCCAGTGAAGGAGCTGCTGTGAGCACACTCCTGCCTCGCTGTGTCGCAGTGACCACGTGGGGACGCAGGCACACAGGGAGGCATGTGGGCAGCAGGACTTACCTTTGGGGTGCCCCGGGTCGGTGAACTCATACTTCCCCACGCCAATGGTCCGCAGCATCTGCAGCCCGTGGGCCGAGTCGGCGGTGGGGGGCCCATTGGTGGCAGGGGCACCGCTGGGGAGAGTGGCAGACGGCTGGGCTGGCGGCGGTGGAGGCAGCAGGGGCCCTGCCATGTGACCGTTGCCCACAGCGGTGGGTCCTGGGCGAGCCACCTGCCCCACGCCGGGCAGTGTGGACACGGCCAGGGGCTGAGGGCTGGCGTAGAGGGCCTGGGCAGGCATGTTGACCACCACGCTGCTCAGCGGCTGAGAGGGCGGCTGTGGGAGCGAGTAGTGGCCCGGCATCAGCGGGAGCTGGGGCCCCACGTGGGGGGGCAGTGAGGGGGTCACCCCAATGACCGGGGCCTGGACGTTCACAGCTGGGCTGAAGGTGGGAGGCTGGGCCACTCCATAGGAGTGTGCGATCAGGGCGGGCTGGCTCCCGGCGGCCACCGTGGTCACCCATGGCCCTGTGCCTGCAAGGGAGATAGAAGAAGCGTCATCTGTGGTTACATACTCACTCAACAAATCCTAACTGCCCCAGGCTCTGGGCAGACTAGGAATCTGCGATTCCGGCAGCCTGAGATAAGCGCTTTAGGGGCACGTGAATGAGTGACCCTGGGGCTCGGAGGAGGAAGCAAGGTCTGCCTGGGAGAGCTCAGAGGCAACAAAGCAGGAAAAAAGAAGCAGCTGAGACCTTCCAATAGACCTGGGTTCAAACCTCAGCTGTCCCATTTGCTTGCTAAGGACCCCTGCAAGTTGCTGACCTGAGCCTCATTCTTCTCAGCCATGAAATGGCACTAGCAACACCTTCCTCGCAGGACTGCTGGGAAGAACCGAGCGAGGATAATGTCTGTGTGAAAATCAAGCGAAACCAGCAGTGTCGGGCATGGGGGGGCGAACGTTGTGTAACTGGTGGTGTTTCTCTTCTTTCTGGAGAATCATCCTCGAGGGAGGCAAGGAGGAAGCTGGGTGGGTGTAGAGCAGTGGGTGTGTGCTGAGCCCTCAGGTGGGTCCTCCAGAAAGAGGGAGACCGGGCTGGGCAGGGTGGAAAGGCTGGTAGAGCTGCTCTCCATGGCCTTGTTCTGGGTGACCCCAGCACGGCCCATACGGGGGGGAAACAAGAGGACCCACTTTGACCCTTGCAGAAGTTTTGGCTGAACAAGTGGGTTCAGACACATCTTGTAAGATTGGCTATAAAGGTAAGGCCGGCTATGCCGGAAGAGAGCAGACCCAGGGCTTCCTGAACTGAGCTGCCATTGCAGCCTGGGTCACCTCTGGCTGAAGGGGTCTGGGTCTAGGTCTCCGTTACCCAAATGCTACCTTGGCATTTGGGATTCCTCTGGGGCGCCCAGTGTGGCCTGAGGATGGGGAGGCTGAGGAAGGAGAGTGGGGGCTAAAGGCCACTCAGTACCAACTGCCCCAGAGGCTAGAGGGTGGGGCCGGGAGCTCCCTTTCAGAAGTAAAACAGCAAGGCAGGGTAAGAGCCAAGATGGCCACGACTATGCTACCACGGGGCCACACAACTGGGGGGAAAGGCAAGGCTCGGGAGTTGGACAGATCATGGTTCGAGCCTGATCCCTTCCTTGCTGTGTGACTTTAGGAACAGGCCTTTCCTGAATCACCAGAATAACACCAACATTGTTGCAAACCTTGAAGTGACACACAGACTAAGCCAATCGAGGTACAGCACGTATTTATGATTTTGATAACAAGAGAGGCTGGAGAAAACCGGAAGCCAATACATGTGGGTGAAGTAGTACCAGGGCCTAGAATGGCACTAGACCTGGGTTCAAACCTCAGCTCTCCCATTTGCTTGCTAAGGACCCCTGCAAGTTGCTGACCTGAGCCTCATTCTTCTCAGCCATGAAATGGCACTAGCAACACCTTCCTCGCAGGACTGCTGGGAAGAACCGAGCGAGGATAATGTCTGTGTGAAAATCAAGCGAAACCAGCAGTGTCGGGCATGGGGGGGCGAACGTTGTGTAACTGGTGGTGTTTCTCTTCTTTCTGGAGAATCATCCTCGAGGGAGGCAAGGAGGAAGCTGGGTGGGTGTAGAGCAGTGGGTGTGTGCTGAGCCCTCAGGTGGGTCCTCCAGAAAGAGGGAGACCGGGCTGGGCAGGGTGGAAAGGCTGGTAGAGCTGCTCTCCATGGCCTTGTTCTGGGTGACCCCAGCACGGCCCATACGGGGGGGAAACAAGAGGACCCACTTTGACCCTTGCAGAAGTTTTGGCTGAACAAGTGGGTTCAGACACATCTTGTAAGATTGGCTATAAAGGTAAGGCCGGCTATGCCGGAAGAGAGCAGACCCAGGGCTTCCTGAACTGAGCTGCCATTGCAGCCTGGGTCACCTCTGGCTGAAGGGGTCTGGGTCTAGGTCTCCGTTACCCAAATGCTACCTTGGCATTTGGGATTCCTCTGGGGCGCCCAGTGTGGCCTGAGGATGGGGAGGCTGAGGAAGGAGAGTGGGGGCTAAAGGCCACTCAGTACCAACTGCCCCAGAGGCTAGAGGGTGGGGCCGGGAGCTCCCTTTCAGAAGTAAAACAGCAAGGCAGGGTAAGAGCCAAGATGGCCACGACTATGCTACCACGGGGCCACACAACTGGGGGGAAAGGCAAGGCTCGGGAGTTGGACAGATCATGGTTCGAGCCTGATCCCTTCCTTGCTGTGTGACTTTAGGAACAGGCCTTTCCTGAATCACCAGAATAACACCAACATTGTTGCAAACCTTGAAGTGACACACAGACTAAGCCAATCGAGGTACAGCACGTATTTATGATTTTGATAACAAGAGAGGCTGGAGAAAACCGGAAGCCAATACATGTGGGTGAAGTAGTACCAGGTCCTAGAATGGCACGAGGGGGGACTGTCCCCAAGCTGGAAGTGGTATCATTATGAGCCAGCCGGGTGTCTGAGCTTAGTTCTCTGCAGAATGAACAGGGAGCCTGGAGAAGGGAATCAGCACTTCAGAGTGTGCTGGCGGGGCACTGATGATGCCATGGAAGAGACAGGTGAGTGCCAAGGAGCTGGTGCACCTAGCGCAGGGAGAGAGGTCCCGGGTGCTAGAGACTCAAAGGGGGTCTGTGGTCACGTGCAACATGCATGATGGAGGGCATCACGCCAGGGCTGCAGAGGACGGAATAGCAGGAGGGTTAGGGACAATGCAGCAAAGGCTCAGATGAGAGCCCGAGCGCCGTACGGGGCGATATCCATGAGGCCTTGCTCGTGGGTCCTCAAAGCCAGCACTGACGCCCAACTGTGAGGGAGGGACAGGGTAGCAGTAAGTATCGGGACCGCTTTGGGGTTTTACCATGGGACAGCTCAGGATGTGGCTACCAGCTGAGGAGATGTGACCTCTGACTGCAATGATCAAAGCAGAGGTGAAGGAAGGAGGTGCTTGTCGGACCACTTGTGGGCTCTCCATGTCGGGTTCTAGGCCCCGCGTGTCAAGAATGGTGCAGAGCATGAAGCAAGTCCCCGGAAAGGAAAAGGGCTGGAATGCATGACCTCTAGGGCATGGCTAACAGGCTCGGGGTGCTTATCCTGAGAAGACTCGGGTCAGGAGGGTCTCTAGATACCTGCAGGGCTGTAGTGTGGAGGCCAAGCAGCGTGTTCTGTGTATCCTGAGGGGCACTCTGGGAATACAGGGAGGTAAGAGGGATGTGCTCGCTATGGTCTAAGCTACCCAGAGAGGGTCTGGGGTGCTGAGGGAGGTAGTGAACTCCCAGGCCCTGGGGAAGAGCACCGGTTCTCATACAGCCCTCTCATCCGGCCTCAGTGGGCAAAACCTCACTGGAAAGAGCTACTTGAGGAATCTGTTAGGGACCGGAGTCCTGAGGTTTGAGAATGATTATGCAAAATGGCCCTGAGCTCATTCTAAGTCACTCTCACTCTCCAAAGCACTTTCTGGAACGGCAGAAAGGGGAAGAGACAGCTACCACACAGGACTCACATGTAGTGCCCCAGCCCCGCAGCCTGAGGTCTGGGCTTCCACGAGTCTGAGGCTCAGGCCCTGCTCTGGAGGAGTCCTGGGTTACCCAGGAGGCCTTTACACCCCTCCTAGCTGAGGCGAAGGGACCTCTGTCCGCCGCTGAGGTACTCACCTGGGTTGTCGCTCTCCCTCATCTGTTTGGAGGGCGGCTCATCAGTGTCCCAGGGTGTGGATTGATTGATGGGCGTCTGCCCCCACCGGATGCTGGTCGCGAGTCCCTGGGACTGACTGTCCGCTTTGGAGATGCCAGGAGCCTGCAGGAAGCAGATCAGGAGGGTGAGTAGAACCTGGCCAGGGGGTAGCCCTGGGAACCCTCCCCAGAACTTCATCCATGGAGTCTCGGGGCTAAAGGCAGGGACCTGCTCACTGGGGAATTGTGAGTACTGGGCAGAGTAGCAGCAGCTGTTGCCTCTACAAGGCTCTGGCCCTCAGGGACACTCAACCCAGTGCCCCTGGGCACCCTCTGTGGCCACCACTCCACGTGAGCTGTCAACTCTGCTACAACCTGTGTTATAGTGTTCCCCCGCCACAGCCCAGCCCTAAGATCATCAATATATGACACAAGTGCCACCATGTCCAGCTGCCGACCCGCCCAGCCTCGGGGCAGCCATGTGCCCAGCCCTTTGACATCTGTGAAGTAGGCTTTCCAAAGTGTCACCAGGAGGTGGCAGGTGAGGTCCTTACACAGTCCCCATCCTGCTCCCTCTGAGGCCCAAAGGTCCCACAGAGAAGGTGGGGCAGGCTGGGGCCCGGGGCCTTGAGCTCAGATCTCATTGCCAGGAGGGTGGGGGCCCTAGGCTTCTCAGTGCAGGAAGAAGGCGGCCTCATGCTCTGATTCAGATTTTTAGATTAATGAGAAAATAAAATGTGAAAACAAACATTCAGACAGCACTGGTCTCCTGGAATATCATAAAGTCATTAAAACCATGTCAAGCAAGAACCAGGAGGTGGCGAAGTGCTTACACTATCACATTTAATGAGAAAAGCTAGCCACAAAATGACACACGTGTACCCTCTCTACATAAATGTCCCTGTCAAACCAACTGTGTAGGAGAGAGATGACCAAAGTGTTAGCCGGGAAGTTATCACTGGGGAAGGGGATTATGGGTAAAGTTCATTCTCTCGTCTACACTTTCCTGTATCTGCCAGATTTCTACTAACGCCATTATTTAAAATAGATAAAAACCAAAACCCAGAAAGATCCTAAAAATGTGTAGGAGAGGCGGGAAATGAGTGGACAGGAGTCTCAGGAAGGTGGCGCCTGAGGGGAAGGGTGAGGTGGGATGAGGGGCAGAAAGGGCTGCCCTCCAGGGACAGTCACAGAAGGCCACTCTCGGTTGATGGACCCTGACCTTGCTGGGCCCCAGAGCAGGCCCTGTGGTGGGGAGATGGCACGGCTCCCTGGGGCTTGGATGCATGCATAATGCAGATGATGCAAGCAGGCTGCAGCGGGCCTGCTGGGAGGAGCCCGCTGCACCCCATTAGGAGCGTGGGCTGGTGGGCTGCGCAGAGCTAATTGCATTAGGCTGCACTTCATCTCGGGCCTGCATTTCAGATGCGTTCCTTCTGTGAACAGAGCAATCTCGGGAGGAAAGAACAATTCAACGGACAAGCTTCCTTATCAGAGGCCCCTGCCTGCTTCCCGGTTTCTGTCTGTGGGGCGGACAGGAGCTGGGAGGGGGGCTGGTTGGGGATTTAGCCGTGCTCACTAGGAGTCTTACAACGGCCAGCTTTCCCAGCGGGCTCCAGACAGACAGCGACCAGCACATGCCCTGTCTGAGGGCAAAGGCGGCCCCACGGTGCAACCCCTCGGTATTTCCAAGCTCGTGGGTCCTGGTAGGCTTAGAGGCACAGAGATCGCTTCCTCTGGACTCTGAGACACTGGAGAGGGCAGGAGCCTGCGCCATGTCCCATTCAGGATCCTGTCTGGGGGCAAGGTTTGCATGCTGAGGACCCAGCTTCCTCCCAGCGCTCAGCCCGTTCCTGGGGCAACACAGAAACCTCTCCTACCAGGAGGGGGCGCTGCAGCCCCTCTCTGCCGCCCAGATTCTGGAGGGCTCCTAGGCCAAAGGCTGTTTAAGTTTCCAGAGTCCTCCTCCGGCGGACTGCTGCTGAGTCAGCACCCATGCTCCAGCCTGGGCACATGACAGGGGAGGGGAGGGTTCTGCAAATGTGACCTGGCCTAACTACTGCTGCCAAGAGAGGAGTTCGGGGTCTCCTTCTTGAGTTTGGGTCATCAGGTCTAAGCCCTCAAGCTTCAGGAGTTCCGAGGTTCTGCCTAATGTTGGGAGAGTCTCTGAATTTGAAAAACTGCACCCTCGCCCAGCACTCTGCGCTCGGGCTCCCACTTGCTCCATTCTTCCTTAGCTGTTTGTTTATTCCGCCAAGTACTGGGGCTCCCGTCTGGGTCAGGCACTGGCTGCCTGAGGCCTGGGAGATGGATGACAGGCTCCACCCTGCCCTCAAGCGGCCGCTCCAGCGGAGCGGAGAACTCAGACGCACCCACAGTGTGAACAGGTCACACTCCAGACAGAGGCAGGATGGCTCCGGGGAGCAGAGGCGGTGGGAGCTGCAGGCGGAGAGTAACTGGGCCAGTGCAGGCTGCCCTGGGCTGTGTCCTTCAGGAACACTACAAGCGATTCCTTCTGTGCAAGAAAGCAGTTCAGCTGTGAGAAGGAAACAGTCTTGTTTTTTTTTTTCTTTAGGAAAGATAAATAAGGCTACTCATATTCCACTTGGTGCTGGCAGCATCTGAAGCTCCAAGCAACTTGCAGTTGAGGAATTTCATTTATTTAATTAGAATAATAAAATGAACATTCCTTTCTTTACTCTCTCCAGAAAAATGTCTGGACATCGGAGTGTGCCCTTTGCCGAGGTGCCTGGGTTCCTGGGCAGGTGATGCACCGCCTGGATGGAGGTCCCTCCTCCTGGGAAGAGCCCCAGCCCCAGAGTACACCTGCGTGGCCCCCCAGGTTCTGGAGGCTGGTGGCTCCAGGTCTGAACCCAGCTCCTAATCCTGTCCTCCCATGGTCTGGATCCCTGCAGGCTCAGGCCTCACCTAACTGCAGTGCTAGGCCTCTTCGAGATCCCTGCCTTCTTGCCAGGGGCTACCAATGCAAGAATGCCACAAAAGCAACCAGAAAACTTAACTCAGACCGGGGGAAGGAAGGCAGGGCAGGACCAGCCTCTCCTCACCCCTTTCCACTGCTGCTGCCTGGAACCTCAGCATAGACACCTCTGGCCTTTCCCCAGCCTTCCTGGCAAGGGCTTCTGCTCCTGTGACGTGACAGCACGTGGCAGAGACAGAGGGAAAAGGGCCTCCCCTGCCCAGCCCGGCCCACAGAGTGGCCCTATCTGCCCATCATCAGGCCTGAGCAGGCTTCTCTCTGCTTCCCTTTAATAAGATGCTAATAGGATGCATCATTAACGCAGCGGCTTTTTAAACCCTGAGCTCTTGTAAATTTTCAAAGGTCACATTTTTATGGTGGTGACAGTATCCTGCTTCTTTCAGTGACTGAAGAACACTAAAGACCCAGGCCCTTTATGGCCAAAGCTCGTGGCAGGCAGTAGCATGGGCTGGAGGCGCTTGCTGGTTGTGGAGTGCTGGGATCCTTCACCCCACAGCAGCCTCCGAGCACGTGGGCTGTGCTCTGCTAGCTCGGAGGCAGCGGTTCCACATGGCTCACAGGGCCGCTCTGAGGGCCCAGCTCCACTCAGGGGACGTGTGCAGACTGCGGCTGTGCACAGCAAAGATGCCTGGTGGTGGGAGGGGGCAAGGGGGCTGACGTCTGTCCAGGGAGGTGGAGGCACTCGAACTCTCCTGGAACGGGTGGTGCATGCATGAGCCGGCCACTGCCCAGGGAGGCCAACCTTTGTGTCTGGCCGGAGGGAGCCCCTTTTTGTCTTTGCCCAGGTGTCATTCAGGTTGCAGCATCCTGGGTGGTCACGGAGATTTGAAAGATGACAGGGACGCAGGCTCCCCTAGGTCCTCGCAGGCCTGGCTTGTTCTTTCCTCTGATCCCTGCACACACACCATCAGTATCCCCTGCACACACAGCGTTTCCTACAGACACAGTGTTCCCTGCACACACAGTGTCCCCTGCACACACACAGTGTCCCCTGTACACACACACGGTGTTCCCTACATAGTGTTCCCTGCACACTCAGTGTTCCCTGCACACACAGTGTTCCTGCACACACACACACGGTGTTCCCTACATAGTGTTCCCTGCACACTCAGTGTTCCCTGCACACACACACACACACAGTTTTTTCTGCACACTCAGTATTTCCTGCACACACAGTGCTCCTTGCACAATGTTCTCTGCACACACAGTGTTCCCTGCACACTCAGTATTTCCTGGACATACAGTGTTCCCTGCACACACACACAGTGTTCTCTGCACACTCAGTATTTCCTACACACACAGTGCTCCTTGCACAGTGTCCCCTGCACACATAGTGTTCTCTGCACACACACACACAGTGTTCCCTGCACATACACAATTAGTGCCCTGCACTCTGTCCCCAGTGCCTTGGTTCTGACCCTGTCCTAGCGCCCTATGAGGACAGGGACCCAGCATGGCATCTGGACAGCAGGTCCGGGCCTGGTGAACAGGCCCAGGGAAGGAGCCAGTGAGGGCAGGTCCTCTGAGCTATGGCTGGCCAACAGGAGGAGCGTCTGCCACTGCTGCTTCTGCACCTGGCGGAGCGTGTGGAGTGGCTTCAGGAGGACAGAGTGATTGAGTAGCAGAAGAGTCATGGTACAGAATCTTTCCCTCGCTGGGGAGAGGTTTCCAGACTGTAGGGCCTTGAGTTCTAGAACCCCACATCTTTGCCCTGGATGCTGTGGAAGGCTGCCCAGAGGCCTGGCTGACCAGCCCACTGAGGACCACAGGGGTGCCTGGTGTGTGAGTGTGCAATACCACGGGGAGACTCCTGCCTCCGTGGGGCTGAGTGGGGAGCCATCCAGAGTACCAGAACACAGGATCCTCCACTGTTCGTACAAGGGGGGCATGTGAATCAATAGAGCCTGCAGGTCAGGGGAAGCTTTGAGATGAGCTGGAATTGCCAGGCATGATCCAGTAAGGCGGAAGAACTGGGCCAGAGTCACCCTCAACATATCCCACAGGGGGGACCAGCAGTTAGCATAATGGCTATGTCGCTGGACTCCCACGTAGTCAACCGCAGTTTGCATCCTGGACCCAGTGGCTTAAAACTCACGCTGGGCATGTGTGTGTGCGTGCCCAAGATC